AACCCTTTCATCAACAAAACCCCCAACTCCCTGCCCACAAACCCTAAACCCTAAACCCTAAACCCTAAACCCTAAACCCTAAACAACAAGACCTCACGCCTATACCGCAAACACTTCACCCCAACCTCCTCTTGCGCAGCACCCGCACCTCCCCGTCAAAAGAGCGCCATCAACCCCCAAACCCTAAACCCTAAACCCCAAACCCTAAACCCCAAACCCTAAACCCTAAACCCTACCTGTACTGGCAGAACAAGTGGTCCTCTGGCTGCAGGGCTTTGCCGATGCCAATTTGAGTTGCTTCTTCACCTTGGTTTTGAATGTAAAAAGAAAAACGACCTGCAGCAGCAGCAGCAGCGCAGCAGCAGCAGCAGCAGCGCAGCAGCAGCAGCAGCAGCGCAGCAGCAGCAGACACGAGCAAGTGAAGGAAAAAACCAACTCATCAGCTAGTAGCAGCAGCAGCTGTAACAGCAGCAGCAGCAGCAGCAGCAGGGGCGCTACACGCCAACCTCTTCAGCAGCAGCAGAACAGGGGCAGCAGAGTAGCAGCCGCAGCAAAACAGCAGCAGCAGCAACAGCAGCCCAACAGCAGCAGCACAAAAGCAACACTCCTGCAACAGCAGCAGCACAGCAGCAGCACCCCAGCAGCAGCAGCCCAACTGCAACAGCAGCACACAACCAACAGCAGCACAACAGTAACAGCAGCGCAACATCATAATCAGCAGCAGCAGCAGCAGCAGCAGCAGCAGCAGCAGCAGCAGCAGCAGCAGCAGCATCGCAGCAGCAGCAGCAGCATCGCAGCAGCAGCAGCAGCATCGCAGCAGCAGCAGCAGCATCGCAGCAGCAGCAGCACCAGCAACATCATCATAATCAGCAGCAGCAGCAGCAGCAGCATCGCAGCAGCAGCAGCAGCAGCAGCAGCAGCAGCAGCAGCGCAGCAGCAGCAGCAGCAGCAGACCTTGGCGCTGGACGCTGTAGAGCATGTTGTCCCAGACGGAGAGGCGGACCATGAGCTGGTAGAGGTTTAGGGTTTCGGGTTTGGAAAAAGGGTTTTGCCAACCCTCTTCCAAAACCCCCTCGGGATTCAAAACCCTAAAAATGGGAATAACTGGACTTTCTTTGTCGATTTTGAGGGTTTTGGAGAACTGGGTGTGCAGCAAACCCTCGTGGTAAACCTCCGTGCGCGAAGCGGGGGTTTCCGCAAACCCTCGCGCAAACCCTAAACCCCCAAACCGCCCCCAAACCCTAAACCCTAAACCCTCGCCAGCGCCCAAACCCCCGCGGGCCGCCGGCCACAGCCCCCGCAGCGCCCGGCCGCTCAACACGCGAGACATCGCGCTAGGGTTTAGGGTTTAGGGTTTAGGGTTTAGGGTTTCGAGCTCCCCGCCTCCAGCTCCGCGCCCAACGCCTCCGCCGAGGGTTTAGGGTCTAGGGTTTAGGGTTTAGGGTTTAGGGTTTGCCGCCCGACACACCAAACCGCCGCCGAAGTCACCCAACACCGAAACGCCCGGAAACGCAGCTTCCGCCCTTTCTCGAGGGTTTAGGGTTTAGGGTTTAGGGTTTACGCTTCCACCGGCTCGCAAAAATAAAACAGACACACACACAATTTCCCAAATGCAAAAAGATACTCCCCGACAAACCCTAAACCCTAAACCCTAAACCCTGCCGCGCCGTGTGCGCTCGTCGCCTGCATGCTATCCTCGCCGCCGCTCCCCGGCCAGGCGAACCCTAAACCCTAAACCCTAAACCCTAAACCCTCAACTTCAAAGCCTAAACCCTAAACCCTAAACCCCATTTAAAGAAAGACAAAATACGTGACGAATACCCAAAATCCCGCTAACTCCTGCTGCTGCGGCGCCCGCAGAGCGCAGGCAACACTCAAACCCTAAACCCTAACCCCTAAACCCTAAACCCCAAACCCTAAACCCTAAACGCTAAACCCCAAACCCTCAATAGAAGCAATTTACCCCACACACCTCAGCATTCTCTACTTTCTATCTACAGGCAGCAGCAGCAACAGCAAGAACGACGGCTGCAGCGCATCCGAGCCAAACCCTAGCTTCTAAACCCCAAACCCTAAACCCTAAACCCCAAACCCTAAACCCTAAACCCTAAACCCTGCCAAGCTCATTCGCCTCCCACTGTGCCCGAGCCTCTTCTGGCCTAACAGTAACGCCCCAGCCGGCGTTGCTGCAGCTAGCTGCTGCTAGCTGCTGCTAGCTGCAGCTAGCTGCTGCTAGCTGCTGCTAGCTGCTGCTGAGCTGCTGCAGCTAGCCGTGGCTGGCTGCAGCTAGCTGTGAGGTGCTGCAGCTAGCTGCAGAATTCGTGGGCAGCTGGGACCCCTCGCTAGCTGCAGCTTGCTGCAGCTAGCTGCAGCTTGCTGCAGCTAGCTGCAGCTTGCTGTAGCTAGCTGCAGCAAGCTAGGGCTAGCCCCGTGGCTTCCAGGCGCCTAAACCCTAAACCCTAAACCCTAAACCCTGAGGAGAGGACCCACGAGGCAAGGGTCATCTTCCTTCTAGTACCTGCCACGCTGCCTTTACTGCCAAAACAAATCTGCTGCTGCTGCTGCTGCTGCTGCTGCTGCTGCTAACAAGCAACATCAGCAGCAAAACGAGCTGCTGCTGTAGCGAACTATCAATGGCTGATAGACAAACTCAAGCCTTCTGAGTTGCGCAGCAGAAGCAGCTGCAGCAGCAACTGCTGCAGCAGCAGCTGCAGCAGCAACTGCTGCAGCAGCAGCTGCAGCAGCAACTGCAGCAGCAGCACCTTGGTGTTTATATGTGCACCTCAGTCCTGTTCTTGCAGCACAGAGGCATGCTGCTTCTGCTGCAGTTGCAGCAACAGGGGCTGCTGCAGCAGCAGCTGCTGCTGCTTGGGGTGTCTGTACACCTCAGCTGTGCTGCTTAGTTATACCAAGAAGGCATAGCAGCACACTGCTGCTGCTGCTGCACCAGCAGCAGCAGCTAATTCAGTAGGTGCAGCTGCTCTAGCAGCAGCAAAGTGCTGCTGCAGCAACAAATTGCTGCAGCGGGAGCTGAGTGCTGCAGCAGCAGAAAACTGCAGCAGCAGCAGCAGAAAACTGCAGCAGCAGCAGCTGCTGCTGCGGGGTTTCCCTAGTGGGCCTCAATAGCAGCACCTGCTTCGGCTGAATCAGCTGGTGCTGCAGCGGCGACGGCAGCAGCAGCAGCAGCAGCAGCATGATCTGCATCTGCAGCAGCATGATCTGAATCTTCAGCAGAATCACGATCTGCAGCAGCATCAACAGCACCTTCTTCTTCTGCAGCAGCAGCAGCAGCAGCAGCAGCAGCAGGAGCTGCAGCAGCAGCTGCCGCCGAATCGGGTGCAAGGCCAAGAGTCTCAAGTGTAATTTTGTCTTCCGGCCGCCCCTGAAGAGACAAGCAGCAGCAGCAGCAGCAGCAGCAGCAGCAGCAGCAGCTGGAGCAGCCTGGTTCTGCAGCAGCAAAGCAGCATTGTTATTATTATTATTAGCAGCAGCATTATCAGCAGCATCAGTAGCAGCAGCAGCAGCGTGAGTGTGGTTGCACTGCAACAGCAGCCGATTCCAACAGTTTTGCTGCATCACTGCTGCAGCATCAGCAGCAGCAGGAGCAGCAGCTTTAGCAGCAACCTTAACAGCAGCAGCAGCTCTAGCAGCACAACCTTTAGCAGCAGCAGCAGCTCTAGCAGCAGTAGAAGCAGCTCTAGCAGCAGCAGCATCAGCTCTAGCAGCAGCAGCAGCTCCAGCAGCGGCAGCAGCTCCAGCAGCAGCATCAGCTCTAGCAGCAGCAGGAGCAGCAGCCCTAGCAGCAGCAGCAGCAGCAGCAGCAGGAGCAGCAGCAGCAGCAGGAGCAGCAGCAGCAGCAGCAGCAGCAGCAGCCCTAGCAGCAGCAGGAGCAGCAGCCCTAGCAGCAGCAGCAGCAGCAGCAGCAGCAGCGGGAGTTACTGTGCATTCTGCAGCAAATTCGGTTTGTCTGCAGCAGGCGAAGCCCCATTTGCTGCTGGCCAAATCATAATAAGAGCCCCAGACGCTGCTGTGGCTGCCGGGGAAAATGTCTTCTTCATATTTCGACTTCGTGAAGGTCCTCTCGCGCCCACGCAGCACGCTGCAGCAGCAGCAGCAGCAGCAGCAGCAGCAGCAGCAGCAGCAGCAGCAGCAGCAGCAGCAGCAGCAGAAGCAGCAGCAGCAGCAGCAGCAGCAGCAGCAGCAGCAGCAGCAGCAGCAGCAGCAGCAGCAGCAGCAGCAGGAGTTATGAAAATGAGAGGAAAAGGACCAAAAAAACGAAATAAAAAGGAAATAAAAAGGAAATAAAAAGGAAATAAAAGGAAATAAAAAGGAATTGAAAATAAGAATAAAAAAGAGTCAAAAAGAATTGAAAAGGAATTTAAAAAAGAGAAAAAAGAAGAATAAAAAGCAAATTATCACCGGCCATCTCGGGAGTATTCGACGTATTCTTGGACCCAAAATGGACCCAAAATGGAGTAAAAAGTAGAAAAAAAGGAAATAAAAAGAGAAATAAATAGAGAAATAAATAAAGAATAAAAAAGGAGACAAAAAGGATTAAAAAAGAATCAAAAAAAAGATCAAAAAAAAGAACAAAAAAGATCCAAAAACCAAATTATCACCGGCCATCTCGGGAGTATTCGACGTATTCTTGGGCCAAAAGTGGACCAAAAAATGGAGTAAAAAGGAGAAAAAAGAGGAAATAAAAAGAGAAATAAATAGAGAACAAAAAGAATCAAAAAGAATCCAAAAAGAATCCAAAAAGATCAAAAAAAGATCCAAAAAAGATCAAAAAAAGATCAAAAAAAGATCAAAAAAAGAAAAAAAGAAAAAAAAATCCCACCGGCCATCTCGGGAGTATTCGACGTATTCTTCCGTTTGGGCGTAAAGGACTCTGGGGTCGTTTTGGAGGTGTTCTTTGCCTCCGTAAGTTTCGAAAATGCTGTTTTGTTTTTTAATTTCCAACTCCTGAGTTGCAAAAAAGAGGACTTTGGCAGCTTTTAATTCATTTCAAACCACAAAAAACAAACAGCAAATCAAAAATGACATCCACTGCAGCAAACCCCAAAAAAATTGACCAAAATGACCAGCAGCAACACACAAACACATGCAGCAGCAGCAGCAGCAGCAGCAGCAGCAGCAGCAGCACTAGAATTGCATTCGCGGCACGAGCAGCACTAGCACTAGTAGCATTAGCAGCAGCACTAGCAGCAGCAGCAGCAGCACTAGCAGCAGCAGCACTAGCAGCAGCAGCATTAGCAGCAGCACTCGCAGCAGCAGCAGCGCAGCAGCAGCAGCAGCGCAGCAGCAGCAGCAGCAGCAGCAGCAGGCCATACGGCTTTTTTCTTTTGGTGTTCTTTGTAGAGGAACTCGAGCTGCGTGGGCTGCGCGTTGAAGTGGACGTTTTGGCCGTGTTTGTACGCCTCCCAAGCGAAGAGCTGCACCCAAACCCTAAACCCTAAACCCTAAACCCTAAACCCTAAACCCTAAACCCTAAACCCTAAACCCTAAACACCCTAAACCCTAAACCCTAAACCCTAAACCCTAAACCCTAAACCCTAAACCCTAAACCCTAAATACAAACCCTAAACCCTAAACCCTAAACCCTAAACCCTAAACCCTAAACCCTAAACCCTAAACCCTAAACCCCTAAACCCTAAACCCTAAACCCTAAACCCTAAACCCTAAACCCTAAACCCTAAACCCTAAACCCTAAATTAGGGTAACCCCAAACCCCAAACCCCAAACCCTAGCCCCAGCCCCGCGTTCTGCCTCCCTGCGGGTTCCCGCGAGCCCCCCAAACCCCAAGCCCACCCCCACCCCCAAACCCTAAACCCTAAACCCTAAATTAGGGTTTACCTGGAGCTGCTGCGTGGCCTTGACCTCTCCGGCTCGGAGGAGCGCGTTGTCGCCGCGGAAAGCAGCTGTGGGGCCCTGCGGCAAACCCTTGAAGGGATCGTCTCGCAGGGATCGACTTTTGGGATCGTAAAAAGCCGATCCCAACTCCAGATTTAATAAATACTTTGCGGTGTCTTCTCTTATTCTCAAGTCCCTGGTGACGGCTCTGCTGCGCGCGTCTTTGCATGCAACAGGAGCTGAAGTTTTGTCGAAGTCCGCGAGCTTCACGTCTTCGTCTCCGGACTCTGAGTCCGTGTCAGTGTCGGTTTCGCTTGCTGCTGCTGCTGCTGCTGCTGCTGCTGCTGCTGCTGCTGCTGCTGCTGCTGCGGTGGGCGAAGCGCCGGCTTCTGGGGCTTCCGGGGAGCCGAGATCGCCCGCTTCGCCCGCTGCTGCTGCTGCTGCTGCTGCTGCTGCTGCTGCTGCGGCTTTTTTGGCTTCGCGCTGCTGCTGCTTCTTGCGGCGGCGCTCCTCGCGCTGCAGGCGGCGCTGCTGCTGCTGCTGCGCCGCGGGCTGCTGCTGCTGCTGCTGCAGCAGCTGCTGCTGCTCCTGCTGCTTCCTGCGGCGGCGCTCCGCCTGCGCGTTCTCGTGCTCCCGCAGCAGCAGCAAATAGTCCTCTCCAGTGTAGTCATTATAGCGGTCTCTCTTGGCGTCATAAGCGATTTGCTGCTGCTGCTGCTGCTGCTGCTGCAGCAGCTCGTCTGCTGCTAGCTGCTGCTGACTATATGCTGCTTTAATGGCCCGAGGCCGCTCAGTGCAGCACTTCTCCTGGTGAGTTTTGCTGCCGCAGTTCTTGCAGCTGCCTTTGCTCCAGCGCAGCTTCTTGTTTGCTGCAGTCTCGGGGACGAGTCCGCGTTTGCTGCTGCTGCTGCTGCTGCTGCTGCTGATGCTGCTGCTGCTGCGCTCCACGAAGCGCTGGTGCTGCAGCCCCGGCTGCTGCTGGTTCAAGTACCAAGGAGCTCGCGAAATGTACTGCGGAATGTGCGGATTTATTTCTTTTCCTGCTGCATCAACTGCTGCTGCTGCTGCTGCTGCTGCTGCTGCTGCTCCTGCTGCTCCTGTTCTTCTTGCTTCCTCCAGCTCCCGCCCCCGACGCGCCTCCTCCCGCGACTGAAAACCCGACGCGCTCATCCTGCTGCTGCTGCTGCTGCTGCTGCTGCTGCTGCGCTGCTGCTGCTGCTGCTGCTGCTGCTGCTGCTGGGCTGCTGCTGCTGCTGCTGGGGGGAGGGAGG